AGCAGCTCCTCAGACAGCTCGGAGAACTTCACCGTCGTTTCCTCGTAGAATTCCGAGACCCTGGTGTGCAGCTGACGGTCTGCAGGGACAGAGCCCTGGGGGTGAGCCTGGACGCCAGCTTGTCACCGCCGTGCCCTGACAGTGGAATGGCTGTGGAGGTGTGGACTCGAGTGTAGCGCACAGTTCAGATGTGGATGGTTCATGGGGGAAACGGGTTCGTCTCAGACATGAAATGAGAGAAAGGGGCCGGGCGTGGTGGCTCAGGCCTGTCATCCCAGCCCTTTGGGAGGCTGAGGCAGGTGGATCACCTGAGGCCAGGAGTTCGAGACCAGCCTGGCCAACATGGTGAAACCCCGTCTCTACTAAAAATACAAAAATTAGCTGGCCGTGGTGATGGGCGCCTGGAATCCCAGCTACTGAGGCAGAAGAATCGCTTGAACCTGGGAGGCAGAGGTTGCAGTGACCTGAGATTGTACCACTGCACTCCAGCCTGGGCAACAGAGCGAGACTCTGTCTCAAAAAAAAAAAAAGAAAGAGAGACAAAGCGCACGTTTTCCTTTCTCCTGCACACTTCCAAATTGGCTGACAACTTTCCCAGGCAGGCCATGAGCACAAACCCCTCTGGGGGTGGGGGTGGGGGTGGGTAACCGTCCCCCTCCCTCCAGCCCAGGGTCCCAAGAATGTCCCGGGTTCTTCTGTCGGCCTCTGGGGGGGACCCCGATCCCCGGGCTGCGGTTACCGTTGCTGGAGCAGTGGACGATGGCGACGCCTGTGAACACGCTGTGCTCTTTCCCACTCAACCTGCAAGACACAACCGGTGGCCGTGCTGTGAAACGTGGGAGCTACGAAGCGAGTCTGAAAACCAGGGAGCCAGCGAGGTGTCCTTGGTCCTGGCTCCGTCCCCTTGGTCCTGGCTCCATCCCCAGTCTCTGCTTCCCGACGGTCCTGCCATGTGGTGTCCAGGGAAACCTTTACGGAGAGGCCAAGGAAGGCGTCACAAATCCCACGAGCCGTGGCCCTGACGGGAGGCCCCAGGCCAGGCAGCCCTCAGCTGGGCCTATGGCGGGCAGGGAGGGGCGCGTCGCTCCCATGTCCTGGGATGGGAACGAGATGCCAGGCTCTGGGCTCAGGTCCAGGACGCCCACTGGGAAGGACAGGGCACTGCCAACTTCTCATGGCCCCAACAGTCTGCAGTGGGCGTGAGACACTCTGGGATCGGTGCTGCAGAATCCCAGACAAGGGTGAGCATGCAGGGATGGTGCCTGCCTCCCTGCACAGCTCACACAGCACAGCTCAGAGAGCACAGCTCAGACAGTACAGCTCAGAGAGTACAGCTCAGAGAGCAGAGGTCACACAGCACAGCTCAGACAGCACAGCTCACACACACAGCTCACATGGCACAGCTCAGAGAGCATAGCTCACACACACAGCTCACACACACAGCTCACACACACAGCTCACACCGCACAGCTCACACGGCACAGCTCACACACACAGCTCACAC